ACTTGAAAAGTGTAGACAGTCATTTGGGTCATGCTCATATAGAGCAAAACACCTTTAAGGATTTTAAAATATTTAATCAATCCTTTTACAGAAGCAGATAGTAGTGCTTTTAAACAGCTTTGTAGACCAAGGCCTGCTTCAGCAAGTCTTGACTTTGTGCGCTAGCTACCCTCTGTCTTCTCATTCTTCTATGTGTCTCTGAGGTCAGAAGCTTTTGCTGCAGCTGTTAATCTGACTAATTTCTTGTTCTGTCTAAACTCAGGAAACTATAGGGCTTCTTTAAACATGCCCCAATCAAACCCTGTTTCGTATCTTGTATTGTTTTCACTAGGTGGGATTTGAACAAGCCAGGGTTTGGATATTCCAGAAAGCCCATTAATTCAAATCCAGCAGCTTCCGATTTCCTCCTCTGGTGTAATAAAAATGACAAGAGGTTTCCTCCTGTTCATGTCCACATTTCCTAAACTAGGCCAAAGGGAATTGTTTGCATGATTCTTCAAATATCTTTGGTTTTAAAACATTGCAGCTCAAACTCTTGAGTCTTTTCATTGTTATTCTGTCCAACAAAAAGAGTCTGAAAATGTGGTCATCAATGTGAATTTTTGAGACAGTCTCCAAATTCCAAGTGACTAATACATTCTCAGATACTTCAAAATGCAAAATAAGAGGAACAAGTGATAGAAGAGAGTGACATTTACATGTCACAGGAATACTATTTCCACAACAAACTGCAATTGCAGATTGCAGTCAAATAACTTTTTGGGGTCATCATCCTTGGGGACCAAACTCTATACCCCCCGTCATGGTCCATTTACACCTTATATTCTGCTGCAGAAGTGACATCACTGTGTCAGATTTAATTTGGCCCCCTCAAAGGTGCCAGACTTGCAGCACAAAGGGATCTGTAGCCCCCATACAAACTGGGGCTTGTCATTTCTAGGGTAACAGTTTTAAACATCCCCTGAAACTCATGCAAGTAAAGCATAAAGTTGGGCTTGAAAACAAGACATGTATGGTTTTGGTTTTAGAGTGTTCCTGAATCCTTGGCATCAAAACTGAGTTTTTAAACACAGGTTTGTTTTGAAAAGAAGAAAAAAATATTTTGTTCTCCTCTATTCTGTCTACAGTATTACTTTCAAAATCCTACATACAACAGAGAAAATAAACCTGCTTTAAAAGAATATTAACTGACCCAAAACACAGCTCTGGTAGACACTGGCATAACTGTTTACTTGCACCGTGGACTAAACCGCTATTATGTAGTCATCTCAGATTCACTCAGATTCATCCCAACCTTGACTCACAAGCCCTTGAAAATCCATGCCTGGTTATAATTGCACAGTAACTTGTGGTCCAACTAAAGCACAATTCTGAATTTACTGTTTTCCGAAGAGTTGATGTGAGATCATTCTAGTTTATGCCAGCCTGAAGCTAAGAAAGCCTTCTACACAAAAGCAAGTTGGACAAGAGATAAAAAATACTATCCATTCTGTAGGCAACACTCTTTTCAAGTGAAGAAAGGCACAGGTTTATTGATGATATTTTGGCACTTTGAAAAATCAGATGTTCAACCCTTCTGATAAGATCAACAGGAAATGTTTCACAAAAATATATGTGCAAGTATAAAAAAGGCCATTCTTCTCATTATAAACTGTAAGAAATATTCCAATTTAAAAATTATATCAGTCTCTTTTTCAGTATTTGAGTAGAAAATCGTAATTCATTATTTTAGGTGCCCTATTATTGTCCTTCCCTTTGTTCACCGGCTCTCGTGTTTTCTTCATTTGCAGCAAAATCCATGGGGTCCATTACCTGAATGTAAAATGAGCACACTATTAGTTCACAATTTTCTATTTACCCCCAAAATATTGGAATAGTAAAGTCCTCAAAGCAACAAAAAATTAAATAGCATACAAAAAAGATAATCTATAGATGGTGATGTATAAACACTGGAGATTTTCCTATTTGTAAACTATTACATTCAAAGCATGTAGTTGGAAGGATCTGCACTAGAGACAGAAAAAACAGACATTTAATCTCTCCCAAAACATCTGGGAAATATAATCCCACGAAGAAGCTATGTAGCTCCAGAACAAACTCACAGCTCTTTCAAATCACAGTAGAGTTGTCAGGATACTCTCGGAGAGAACTACAGAATTTGAAGATGGCATTAAAAAATAGAGAGCTTTGTGTAGATAAGTCCCACTATTTTAATGCTGACAGACTGTAAAAAAAGTATTGAGATGATCCTCAGTGGAAGGCGAAGAAGACAGATTCTGTACTGAGAAGTCTAAATCCTTGGGTTACATTATGCAGAAAAATCCAAGCTGCTAACTGCATGTGAGAATAATGTGACAATTACGTTTTTGTACAATTGCTAACCATACACTGCAGATTGGATTCCCAATGTCTTGTCTAAAACCGTATACTGTGCTATTATACATTAACCTGTTACTGACTACAAAAGGAGAGAAAGTTACTTTGTTCAGAAAATCAATAGCTAATAGCTGGAGAGTAAAGCAACTTTGGAACGAGAAGTGCATAACTTCCCCCCCCCAAAGTAAATATTTAGCATGGCTCATTATTTTTCTCTCTGTGGGCAAATGTCTGCTAAATGCGAAGAACACTAAGAACCATTTCAACAAGGATGCTTTTTAAGCCATTTACTCATATATCTGCCTGGAAGCCTGCAATGAAAATGAGGAAACACGCCCATGTGCACAGCCAAGCTTGTAGAAGGATATTAACACAAAATAAAAACCATTTACATCACAGCACTTGTGAAACATGAATGATCTACATGGCCATTCATATTGAAAAGAAGGAACAGCGAAGCTCTAGGCAATATTGCTATGCCTCGTTTACTTTTGCAAGCAGAGCATGTGTTTTTAATGAGTCAAGTGTTTTCCTATGTGCAGTAATTCATACTCCTTTTTAAAAAAAGATCGGAAGCAGAGTAGACGGGGGTTGTGCAGCATGTTCAGAGCCAGGATACACAACTTATCTTTTGCAGGGTCACTGCTGAGTGTGAACCAGTTTAACCTACAAGTGACCTGCAGCAAAAACATCTTAGAATCCAGACAGGTACAACTGGAGAGAGTTATTTGGATTCCCTCTGGTACACATACTTCACTAACAAAAAATCCTAGAGAAAGAATTCTCCCAGCAGCTCCCAGACCCAAAGAAGGTCAGAGGCAGCCACTGCACACAATCTTCTCCCACAGTCTGTCTGTCCCAATTGGCGTTTCCTGCTCCCCTTCCACTATGCTGCTATGAGGACGATTAAACAATACCTCTCCTTGCCAGAAGCATGGGGCAACAGATAACTTGGAATGGGAACAAAAGGTCGTGGCTCCTCGCTTTGCAGATTGGCAACAGAAGGCTTCCTGTCCCAGGACACTTTTAGGGAGCAACATGTGAATCGGGCTTCCTTGCCAGGATTTAATGCTCGTTTCCCTTCAGATCCAAGTCCCCCGTTAAGCTCGGATTTGGCCAGTCACCTCTGCCCTGTCTCCTTTTCAAAGATTGACACTAAAATGGCACACTGCAACTTGTTCAATGTTTGCATTCCGGTTTCAGTTTATAAGGAAAAAGTTGCAAGAGCATGTGTGGAGCACAAGAGGCCTGCACCCCAAGGAGCCCTGGCTTTGCCCAGGAAGAGGGTTGAAGGCTGGCAAACTAGGTAGGCTTCCCATTGCTGCATCCTGAGATACCTCAGATATTTAGAAAGACAAGTACATATATGTTCCACGTGAAACACAAGGCCTCTCGCTTATTATTTATTTCTTAGAAAGATCATGAACTCCTGCTTTGTACCTATCCACTCTCTCCCCCTTCCCCATGTTTTTTCCACTGGTGTGCACTTAGAATTATGTTAAAGGCAGGGAATTCTCCACAGCTTCCTTTGTGCAGCTCTCACTTTTTCCACCCCAAGGGAAAGAAAAAAATGGCATCAAATTTAGCTAAGAGCTTCCATCTCCAGAAAAATGAAGTTGTAATTGTAGCTTCACTCTTATCGACAGCCCACCTCTGCCTCTCCTAGTGTCCTTTACAGCTGTACGTGTAAAAACAGCTGCTCCATGCAACGGTTGAGCTGTCAGGCAGCCTCCAAAGAGGTGAACAGGTTTAGACAAACTCCACAAAGGCCAAAAGTCAAAGGTGCTGAGGCCACGTTCAGAGATGTATTTCTGTATCCAGCCAAGACAGGGATGTGAGTCTCAGGTGACCACATGTTTCTGCCCTGGCCCATCTAACCTGAGGCAAGGAAAAACTGGAGGTGACCATGTTTTTGAGGCAATGGTACACATCTGTAAATATGAAGGTCCTCCTGATGTAGACATTTCTAAAAATGTTGCAAGAACATGTATGTATTTTAAAAAGTGAGAATGAGCTGGTTCCGAAGTGGATTTGTGAAAAGGAGGAGGAGGGTAAGGAGGAAAGGAGTTACTCTGGAAGACTCCTTAGCACAGCTTGAAAAAAGTGCATCCTTCAGGAATCCAATGCTTGTCTGTCCCCTGTTTGTTTGTTTGAACATGCAAAGAACAGTAAAAACAAGCAGGAATTTTTCTAGGGAGAGCTGTCTTTACAAGGCTTCTGTGTCACATGAGTATTAGTTCAAGCGCAGGTCAGATTTTATCCTGCTCATTTGAGACATGATCCAATACGGCAGAGAACATGGAAAAAGAAATCTCACCAAGGTTTCATTTTAGTGCTAGTAGGGAGTTTAAAATGGCACAAATTGTTCCACAGCACAGCAGGCCACAATGTCCATATCCTGCGGCCACCTGATTGTGAACACAACTTGCACTTTTATTACTATCTCTTTTTATATCCCACTTTCCAGCCACTAACCCTTAAAGTGGCTAATCATTTTTTAAAATCACATTGTATTTAAAGGAGCTCATTGAGAAAAGAATAGGCAAGAACTTGGGACAGCTCAGTGGTTCAAATCTCTGGCTGTGGAGCCAGAGGTTGGGAATTCAAATCCCGCCACCGTGCCTCCTTGACTGGGGCTAGACTTAATCTATAGGGTCCCTTCCAGTTCTGCTGTTCTAAGATGATTATTATAGGTTGTTATTTTTTTTAAAAAAACATAATAATAATAAATAAATTTGGTCAGAATCTTGTTAATGGAACAATGTTGTCATCTCTGAAACTGGGAAACGTCTAAGTAAAACTAAAGAGCTTTTCCACATCCTTCTTTTAGAGCACACATACACACACTTTAAACTATAGCATGTAGTGAAAGTATGTTTAATGGTTTGTTGAACCAAACAGCCAAAAAATAAACTTCACACCAAAACCCAGGAAATAAAGTATGATGAGGAGAACAATTTGGGAAGCTGTGTGGCTCATACTGGAGGGAAGATTATACTATTTGAACTGCATTCAGATCCCAAACTGCATTTTAGAACTTTAATTCCAAAAGAAGACAAGCTAACACAGAGGTCCAAAGTTCAAAGTAATTTTAATCCTTCAAAAAAGGACCTAACAGAGAAAAGCGTAGGCAACAATTACTATGGCAACATAAGTACTTCTAAATAATGAAGCTTGTTATTTGAGTTATGAGTAGTCTTTTGTTAGACGAGAATTGGGACTGAAGTATTTAGAGCAACCTTCAGGCAGAAACAAAGGCAGAAACATTATTGAGAACCAAAATATTTCAAGCTTGAGCAGTCTCTGAAAAAGGTATTCACTAGAGCTTCCATGCATCACACGGAGTCTAGGAATCTGAGCTCGTATAGAGGGGCATAAAGGCAGATAAAATGTACACGGGCAGATACTGTGCTCTGGCCGCCATTCTAACTACAGAAGCAGAATCAACCATGATTTTATCTCTAGCAGGGGGAATCTTTCTCTAGCACTTTAAAAAAAAAGTCTAGGACTTTTGAAAAAAAAATCTGCTTCCATAATTCCTCAGTCAGGCAAAGGAGCACTTGGAAGTTCTGGTTTATCTACATCAGAATAGTCACTAACCAGTTAGACTGAGACTCTCTTTCTGCATTACTGCCAGATGACCACTGAATTTTATTTTTTTTCCTGAGTGCCTGGGCTAAATGGCAATTTAACGAAAGGTGGACTCCCTGGCTATTGGTGCCCTACTTCCTTTAGTTGTAGGAATCAAAGGACTTACTGAATAGGAAACCTCTCTATGCTATTTTACACCGTTTCTGTTGTGTGCGCTAGTCCAACAAGGTTCAGACCCCGAAAGCATTTCTGTTAATTTGGCATGACTATGTCAGTGAAAAGTCAGGAAGAAAATGAGAAGAAAGAAAGGCAATGCTGATGCACAGATGAGTTGTCTCTCAGAAGGGCAGAAAGATCGGAACCATACAGAATTTTGAAATATGACCTTGTACGGCTCTCCCTGCCTTTTATGAATGAAGAGGAAACCAGGGCTTAGAAATATGAAACCTACAAGAACTTTATCAGCAGGGCAGGGGTATTTCATGCATACACTACCTTAGCCAAAGCTTCGTTGTTTTAGTCATTGAGAAAAATACAGGCTTTTACCAGCAGAAACCTTCAATAGCCTCTTCCTTCTTCAGATGGTTGAAAAACACTGTGACACTCCAGTGTGTGCAAAGTTTGTTCGCATAATATTTTAACAACTACAAACGCTTGATTATTTCCTATACATGTGAAGCTTCATTCATGTAGATAGAGGAACAAATACAGAAACCTAACTAGGACTAGTAAAAGTGTTTAAAACTGGTCCCAGATGTGCCATCTCAGTAAGAATGAGGACTCTGCCAATTTCAAGATGATAGCTACATGTAAGCAGCAAGAGGGGGGGGAAGTAAACAATAAATAGAACAAAAATTTTAAAGGAACATGTAGCATTATTTATTAGTGCAGAGGTTCTACAATCATGGCCATGGGGCAACTCAACAGAACAATTTTTCCCCTTGGCTGCTATTAAAGGGTTGCTCCGTTGTTACAGACAGGCCAGGAAAGGATATAGAAATATTATTTGCTTCCATCTGCTGGCCAGTCCAGATACTAACCCAAAACAGTATCTCCCTTGCCACTTGTGACTGGTAAGAGACTGGAAGAAAACCTGGAGATTTTTTTGTTAAAATGCCTCTTCTTTTAAAGCACCTTTCACATATAACTTCTGAAAATAACTAGAAAAATCTTACTGGCTAGACCAAAATGGTGACTTTAAATTGTTTGCAATGTTGTATCTTTACCCTTCAAGTAACTAGAAGCTTTCCAGGTCTTCACAAAATATGTTCAAAGTAACACCAAATCAAGACCAAAATACTCAACCTCCTGTTTTGTATCTCAAATTATGCAAAAGCTGTATCTTCTGCAATATAACTGTGGGCAACACATACGGACATCATCCTAGGACCCAGCTCACAGATTATTCCAAGAAACGAATGGGCCAGTCATAATGTTTGGACTGCACCAAACACATTTTGCCTACCTGATAACTGTTGCCGTTCCAGAATTTTTTCATCTCTTTGCGGTACCAAGCAACGAATGCACTGGTAAGAAGCGTGCATGGCACTAAATAGAGAAGGGCCGGTTGTGCCGCCTTCATCAGCGCCAGACCCAAGAACGTGATTAACATGCCAGCAGCATAAGCTGTAGAGAAAGACAAAAAGAGACACAGGCAGAGCTCCTTGTGGTTATGTACTGTGATGGCTTCGCTAACGGCTAGTGGCGGCTGATGCCGGTCAGCCATGGGAGAGACAGGATGCCCAATGCAAGAGTCAATGGGGCTATCTGATCCTAGTCTTGTCCCCTTCCAGCTCCTTCACAAGCACCATCACTACCTACCATACTGTTTTCCTCAAATCTCAGCTAGCAATGAGGCCACTACCACCCATTCCAGCTACAAAGAAAGGATGTGGGGAATGCCCTCTTGTCCTACGAACCAAGCCCCCATGGCCACAGGCACAGCAGCTATAGTTGTTAGAGATACATTCTCAAACTGCTGCATTAAAGAAATATTTACCTATAGTACAGGATATAAAATACACAGAGGAAGAGCTGGTCTGAACATCAAATCTGTGACAATAGGCAACCAGGAGACCTATGAAGAATGAAAGGGTATGTCAGAAAGAATATGTGATAGAAAGAAAATGTCTTAAATATAGTATTTCACATTAGGCCATGCTCCAGAGAAGTCAGCAGGGCAAGAATGACCAGGGGCAGCATCAAGGCAGGGGGAGTTGCAATGAACCTTTGTGAAAACCCCACATCCCTACCACTTGAAAAGCATGATTTATGATCTCTCCATAACTGAAGCCCACACCAGCATCCTCAGACAGGACCTCTGTTTCACCAGTGGATCAGCTGGCATTCTGGTTGCCCTCTCCTGCTGCCTGCCAGTACATCCTGAAACTTCAGCAGCAGAATGAGCAGGACAGCAGGAGGGGGGAGTCCAGTTCAAAAGTTCGTCAAAAACGACCAGGATCTGGCTGTTGGCCTTTTTTGTGGCACTTCCCTTTGCTTTGGTTTTTGGAAGGCCACAGGGAGAGGAATTTGATAAATGGGTGGGTTGCCCATCAAAAAACCTAAGCATATTTACTCTGATACTAACTCCTGCATTGATCAATGGGACTGGCTTTTGATTATGCTTGGGATCAGAGTCTAGGCTGAGTAACAGCTCAGCAGCAGAGTACACCCTTTTCATGGAGGAAGTCCCAAAGCCCCCCCCCCGCGCAAAATCTCACCACTGCTACAAATATCTCATTGCATTTCAGCCAAAATGATTAAGAAATACTTGTAGTACGTAGGTAAGGACAGCCACTGTGTGAAAAGCTCCTTTGCTTGTTTCATCTTAAACTCATTTCATCCATTTAAAAAAAAAACCCTATGAGCAACATCTAGAGTGACACTTTATAATTTCTATACATGAACATGAGTGGACAGCACTATAGAAAAATTCTAGGTTGCTCACCTGGCACAACAATATCACCAAATCCAAGTAATGAAAATGGCATCAAACACAACATTGTGACAGAAAATTCAAGCCTGGGCACTTTGATGACCACCGGTAACTGCAAAACAGTGTTTCAAAAAGCCCACGTAAATCCAATCCGAAGAATGTTAAAGAAAAAAAAAAGACTTAACATTTTATCAGAACCATTTACTCATCTAGTCTATGAAGAAGTTCAGATTTATGAGGACCTGAATTAAGAAAACAGGAACCAAGATGCTGAGTGAGTAAAGTTATGACCGAGCATACAAGCCAAAGGATGATTCATGGCTGTGAGAGACAGGACACAAGGCACAACAACAGGAAGAAAATGCATTATGTGAAGCAAGAAGAAGAGACTGAATTTTAGCCTGTCCAGAAGTGATTGGGCAGACCCTTAGGTCCAGGCTCTGCAGAAATGCACTTGGAGGAGAGAGTCAGAAATTTTCCCCAAAAGGTCACCCCTTTTTCAGAGGATGCTATTCAAAATCCAATGAATGTTATCTTAAATACAATCCTTACTTTCTCATGAGGAGCTGACCGCTCAGCAGATGCTTCCACCAAGTTTCCATCACTCTAGGATCAAACCCAAGTCAACAAGCATTTAATCATTGAAAGGAAAGTTAAAAATATATAGTTGGCTATATTCTGTGAGCATGTTATGCCAACTTATGTAGAGCAGAAGCTGAGCAAACTGATGGACTCAGAACTTAAACCCCTCTTTGGTAATCTGCCATTAGAAGTCAAAAGATTTCAAAGTACAGTATTTTGCCCAGATGGTCAGTTAGCTAAAGTAATCATCATAGCAGACATGAAAACTTAGTACGTATTGTGGCATCTCATGAAGTAAAGAGGCAAAGTGACATAGTTCTCAAAAGATGTCAGGCCTACCTTTTCGCTGCTTTCAAACGGACCCGCTGCCACTTCCACCATTATACTTTCCCCATTCTGAAATTTGGGAGAAGCATTTCAATACTGAAGCATTAGTTTAGCAATTACATATCCTTCATAATTCAAACAACGTACAGACAAACATGAGAATGATTTGATTTTTTTCAACATAGAATTGAATGCTCTTAGCAGTTTTGTGTTGTAAGAGAAAGAAATGGAATGAAACACACCAGTCTTGATATGTTTGTATATTAATGTGTGTGTTGTTCAAATGTTATTCCCCATACTTTGACAATGAAGCTATTAAGACAAGCTATCTGTACCATTAATATTTTCATCCAGTGAGGCATGGCCCTCGGTGGGGGGGCGGGACATTATCAGGTTTTAAGAGGAAGTATGTATAATTTGAAAAACAAACTGAACACTGTATGTGGCTCCCAACCTGGCATAGATTATCAAATAAATACTATGTCCACTGAAAAGCCAAACCTACATCTTAATACATTCAAAACATCCATCAGAGTGGAGCCAGTTCCTCACAAACTGATGGCATTTAAATATGTACAATTATTATTATTATTATTATTTATTTAATTTATATGCCGCCCACACTACCCAAAGGTCTCTGGGCGGCTTACAGCATTTAAAATACAATAAAGATATGTAACAATTAAAATACAATTAAAATATATATAAAATTGCCATCAGACCCACAGCTAATATTATTTCAGTTAAAAGCCTTCTGGAACAGGAAGGTTTTGACCTGGCGCCGAAATGTCATCAGTGTCGGCGCCAGACGAATCTCAGTCGGGAGGGCATTCCATAGTCTGGGGGCAGCTGCCGAAAAGGCCCTTTGTCTACAAGCCGTCTACAATGCTGGTACAATTTGCATGAAAATAATAGTTACTTGCTGGTGTGCTTACCTTTGTAATGAATGGTGTGATGAAGACAAAAAACACATCATACAATAGGAGAAGGCCCAGGAGAATCACGCATGACTAGAGAACAAACAGCCATCATATTGGTTTTATAAAACAGAAAAGCTTCAAAATCATAATTTCATGATCATCTTATTTAAAGGCTACTGTTTCTGTCTAGGGCCATGGTTCCCAACCTTGGGTCACCCAAGGGCTCTTGGACTTCAAATCCCAGAAATCCTGCCCAGCACAGCACAGTTGGTAGTTAAGGCTTCTGGGACTTGCAGTCCAAAAACTATTTTCGCACAAGAAAATAACAATCATAACAATTTATTATGGACTTTTTAAAAATATTCTAAATTAACTGCAGAACATTATCATTACCCCTTCCAAGACTCATCTTTAGGGCTACAGCTTGGAATGATACACTCTCTATTGTCACGGAAGGTGGCATTTCCATAATTTCAATTATATATATGCACACCTCGCCTGCTGTAAGGCCATGATTGAGCAAGCATCCAACGCTGCCATTGCCTCTATGGAACAGCTTCCAAGAGCACAGGGAGGGAGAATAACTCCCCCTAAAAACATTGAAATACTCTTCTGGATCTGGAGCAGGCTGACAGCGTCAAACAGGGTTTCACACTGGATTTAAGCCAATTTTCATCTCTTCAATTAACAGCCTGAAGTTCGTGAACCTAGTTGCTGTTTTAATGTCTCCTCATTTAACCTTTTCCCTCCCTCTTTTGCCAGGTCTCAGATTATGTTTTCCTGGCTTTTAATCGCTATAGTTTGCCACAATAGTTTGGAAAGGAAAAACAAACCATATCTGATCTATTGGTTTTTTCTTTTTTTAACTCACAGGAAATTACGGCTGAGGTGAAAAGAAAAATGAAAATGATGCCCCCAAGGACAAGAGACTGGAGAAAACCTATGTGCCTCTAGTTCGTTTCTCATCCTCCAGACGATGATTTGGAGAACAGCCTCAATTAAGTCAGAGCGGTGAGTGGCGTTTTCAACAAATGGGTACAGCTCAGGAGCTTGATTTAAAACCCACTTTATCAGCCATCCTTGGAAATGATATCTTAGGCTTCCAAACTGGGGGTGGTGGTCTTCCCTGCAACTGACCAACAGACCTCTTGCTTTCTTTAGATGTTGTGTCCTTAATGGGCTGTAGCTTTGTGATTACTCTACCTTGAAGTTGGGCATTTTGAGTGTCTTGATAAAGTTCACACAGAAAGCAATCCCCAAGATATCTTGTAATATCCAAGCCCACCTAAAAGAAAAAAAGCATTGGTTACATTTACAGATCCATGCACGCATTCACACACAAAACACAGCACATGTCTGCTAGGCCAAGGCTGAAACTCCCAATGCACATAATAGGGACTATGACCCCGTGCAGCCCCCTACGGCTTGGACATCAGCTATCCTCATCCCAGGTACCCCATGGTGGCCACAGGTGAGAGAAGGTGTAGTCTGACCCAGAGAGAGAGAGAGCTGGGTCAGGGAAAGTTGTCTAAAAGGTTATTCCCGAGGATTCTCTCAACTTTGGTCAGGAGGAAGAACAGAAAGGCTGGAAATGTTTTATTGGTGAATTTATTTCATAGAAGGCAAGGCTGGGCAAAGGGTGGGCTTCTGGGTGTCACTGGATTATAACTGACCTCACCCCTAGCCAACATTAGCATCCGTGAAGAATGCTGGGAGATGCAATCCAAGCACATCTGAATGGCTGCACTGGATCTGGTATAAGGACAGGCCATCTAATGTGCTCCAGAGCTTCTGGGCTCTATTTCCCACAATCCCAGGGAATTTGGCACTGGTCAGAGATAGTGAGGGTGGTCCTGAACACCTCACAGGCACTGGGTTGCCTATCCCTGATTTAGCACATTCATATCCCGCTGTTCTTCTGACACGGAACTCAAGACGACCAACACGGGGTTCCCAGGTGCAGCCCCACCCTGGCACAAACCAGATTCAGGAATGCTTGGTTTAAGCAGGGTGGCCGAATAAGCTGAACTGCATATTAAAGGAAACAAAACAATGCAGCTGGTGTTCCAGTTCTGAATCTTAAAATTCTTTCCGTACCGATTCTCATTCCGAAACACGGCCCACACAATGGATATGGCTGCGCAAAAGGCAGCAAGAAAAAGAAGTCTCACTTCAAAGGATTTGTTCCAGCATGGAAACCTACAAATGAAACAGCACCACACAGGTTTGTTATTAACACAGCACATCCTGCACTTCTGGATAAGCACACGACCTAGAAATAAGCTCCATCTGCACCATATCCAAAATTTTATTAGAGACTTTTAGATCTCACGTTGAGGATTTCTACGTGGCCACTTTGTGCTACACACTGAGCATAACTGACATGATGTGATGCTTGCCTTTTCCAGATACCTATTATCTATGTAATCTTCTGGTCTATATCAGGCGAACAACAATATACAGTATTGCAAAAAAATGGAGAAGAAACTGTAAGATTCCTCAACTCCAGAGTGAGACAAGAAAGGCTTTCTTCAACCCCTCCTCAGATCTCTGCATTTTGCACAGACTATCTCTGTGCGTTCCTTTTTCAGCTTTCCACAGCCATATATCAAAGCAACCCTCAAATCCCATGACTCTTTGAATCATCACATCAGCCACTGATTAGTCATTAACCTCTGTGAATTTTTAAGTAGACTTTAAAGTTAAGGGAAAACATTTAGGGCTGCAATTAGTTCAATTTCTGATATGTTGTATGTTTTTGTCTAGTAGCAATCATGGGCAGAGCTTAGAAATCTTGATTTTTTTTTATTATTATTATAGCTGCCAGAATACCACACCAGCTCCTGGTTGGGGGACTCTGGCAGTTGTCATCCAGAAAATCCTATTTCTAAGATCCGATCATTTGTGAAGAATTACAAGATGGTATCAGAAGATAACTGGATATATTTAGCACATCATAGGGAATATAAAAATTAAGTTAAATTTGGAATGATTTCCTGCAACCAGAAAAATATTATTTTTCAGATGTATTTTCATCATATACATATTCCAATCTGTGAAGGACCATTAAAGACAGCTAACCATAATTACAAAGAGAAAAATATAACGTTCAAAAAATGAAATACAATAAAGCATACTTCTAATAATGTTTAGCCACATACCAAAATATTACATTTTTAAAGCAGAATGTGAGCTAAAAAGGTCACTATTTTTATTAGCCACAAAACTATTTTTAAAACTCACGTGGAGTGAGCGACCGTACCTGCATTCTCCGTAAGGTATTTTTCTAATTAGGGCAGAAAGACAGTTGTACAGGCTCACGGCAGATGCCAAGCAGAAAACTGCAATGACGACATATACTAAACAAAAAGGAAACATGAGAAGAAGGAAATGGTTAAAAACTAAGTTATCAGAATCATGCAATGACAAACCATCCAGTGAGGGGTAAAAATTATTTATGTCAAGATACAGATTTAAACATCCACAGATAACCATCTGGGACAAAGGCAGGATATAAATGAAGTGAATAAATAGACCCGTTCAGTGTGGCTCATAAGAACTCGAGACTAAGATGCGGATCTCACCAAAGCTGCGGATTCCAAAATGGCCTCCACAACTGACTGTTCCTGTATATTAAAAAACTCTCCACATAGAAAGCTAGCAGATCAGGTAGAAGGCTAAGGTAGGACCCATGTCCTGGATGCATTATTTCCATATAGAGAGGGAGAGCTCACGCCTGCAACCCAGACAAAGGTATATCGCCTGAGCAGCACATCTAACTAGATAAATCCAAGCACCTTCTTACCTAGATATTTATAGAAGTAGTACATCAAGACTAGCATAACACAACAGATGACAACAAACAGAACAACCGTCAGAGGTGATAAAGTAACGTTTTCCTCATTGTTTGATGATTCATGGCTTCTAGAGCCTGGGGCCAACTTCAAGCGTTCACTGTATGGAGAAATATAAGCAGTATACAGTATATAAAAAAAGAATGTAACTCATTCTCTCACCATATCTATAAACCTTTCCAACAAGGATTCCTAATACAACCGGAGCCTGATCATGGTCAGGCCGGATGACAATTTGCCCTCTGTATACTCGCAGAGATAAAACTGCACCAGAGGATAGCAACTGCACCTTCAGAACAACTATCCTGAGATGCTTCTCTCTCTCCCTCTTTTCATTTCTGAACAGGTATCTACCTTCTGTTGCTGTGTTTTTCTGCACTCTGAGGAAGTGAAAATCTACCGCAAAAAAAATTGCAGATTAAATGGGAACAGCAACCTTCAGAAACTGTTGGCACAATAAAGTAAAATCGAAACTTACAGTTCTGCCATGCCACTCCAGTAGCCTCCTAAGATCACACAAAGCACAGCTATTAGAAAGATGACCACCATACTGTAGTCGAAGTCTGGCACAGGGGGCGCATACAGGGCCACATTAACATTCCTTCCAAGAGTCTGGAAATTATAAACATATCAGTTAGATGCATCTGTCCAAACAATTGAAAGCTCTACTCTCTGCACCTCCATACGAAACCCAACTACTTTCTCTGCCCATGACAGGTATTTTCAAAGGCCTCTCACGTAAGTTTAAGCCACAAAAAACTCATTCTGGTAATCAGAGTGAAACTCAAACAAAGTATGTTTGGACAACAGATGAGGAGTCCAAGAGGAAATGAGGAATTTCTTACGGGAAGCTAAACTACGTGCTAGCCAAGGGTTGGTATCTATGACTTGCTGAACCCGCAGGGCCCGGTTGAGATGTCCTGATAAACAACCATGTGGGGCAAGTCTCGACTTTGTTTAGCTGTTCCCATTTGGCACAGGACCAATGAGGTACTGTTATGCGAATGTAGTCGCTAATGCTGGATAAAAAATGTTCATATCTGAGTGGATTTCACTGGGTAAAATACTGAAAAGCAGCAGCAGGAGAGAGAGAGGAGAAAGGAAGACCTAACCATGGAATCAAAATCTCCTCTTTCCACCACAATCCATTTGGGTTTGTAAAAGCAAATGGCCCTGAAGATTACTCACCTGCTTCAAATTAATCATGTCCTCATTTCTTACAAGTGCCACTGGGATAGTAATATCTTCAGACTTGTTACCATAAGGAGTACTCTAGAAGAAGGCAATTTATACTGTGTCAGCTTTACGGAACCAATCATCATCTGAAGTCTACATACATGCGCGCGCACACTTTCCCACTCAAACAAGGAGACACATGCATAGTGCCAAATGATGATGTCTTGTCCCACACATCTTCTTGGCAGCTTGTAACTGAAGAAAAGCAGGAATGATGCTTCTACCATGCTATCGTATCACATCACTTTTCTAACTACAAGTGCAATGGGATGCAGGGACCCTTCTGTTTATTAGTGATCTTGCATAAGCAGCCCTATGAATGTTGTCAGCTGAAGAAGAAAGGGGGGAAAGCACTCTAAATTAATAACGTTTCACACACAAAAAAACTTGGGAGTAAATCTTGAACTTTTAAAAACACCTTGACTGGATTTTAGGAGGCACCCACAACAGATATAAAATGGCCTTGTGGGGTGAGACACGGCCTGCTGATAGAGACCTAGCCAAACCTTGAAGAAAGATCACAGAGATGTTATGGAAATAACAATGATAGTTTCAACAAAACATCTTCCACGAAGAAACAGTCTTCCATGGGGAAACTTACCACACCAGTTTCACTGGCAATGAGCAGAATTTTAGCACCCAGATTCTGAGCTATCGCTGCCTTTTCCAAGAAAGTGCAGTTTCCCCGCAGCACGACAATTGCTTTGTCCTTGACCATCTCGCGGGTGGCCTCTGTTGGACTGCAAAGCAATTTGGGGGTCAAGAATTCCAATTCTGTATAAGTCTAGAAGACAAAAAAACCCTCTTATAAAGGACAAGATCATTCAGTAGTTCAATAGCGCAAATGCAACGCAAAACAATGTACAGTTATCCTAACCATTTTATTGTTTACTAGAAACAAAAGGAAGAAAATTCTTGACTCTGCAATACCAAATTTAGAACCCAGTACCAAAGAAAAAGAAAACTCCTTGCTAGTGCCTGCTTCCATGCCAGTGGTCCATTCACAAGGTTCTTCTTTAACTAAGAGACTATTCACAACTGTATGAAAATCACCGGCAAGCTGAAACCATCTACTGCTGAAGCCTCAGACCACTCCATCCACCCTTTTCCAGCATGTGTAGATCTAGCCCTCCTCATCATTCCAGAGCACAGTCTGGCACAGTCACACCATAAACAACCACACAAGACCCAGTCTAGCCGGTTATGCAACGTCAGGAAGATACAGAATGGCTCTGACACACAGTAATTCCCTCTGTGAAATTAAACGGAATCTTAGGAAATTTAAAAGTATTATTACTTACAACATTATCTACGGTTTTGGGAAGAGTTGTCCAATTAGTATTATAATATATACAGTAGTCTCTTGTTAATTGTGTGTCATCCTTCTTAACTGCATGCAAGATCCCTTCTTGTGCAGTTACCTGCAGAAAAATAGAGTTCCTTGTTAAGCACTGCTTAAATGACTAAAAATATTAGCACCATTCCCAAAGATTTCATATCAGCCTGAAATATTCTCTTGACACATCACTTTTAGCATCAACCCTAGCAAGGTATCAGTATTTTCAAATTAATGGCAGAGCATTTTTGCAAAACCCAGATTTCCCAAACAGCTTTGAGACTACAGTAATAAACACATTTGAAACATGTAACTTTGAGATGTGCTCTACAAGCAGGAATGTAAAACCAAGCTATCTTCACTCTGCATAAGCCTTTGCGACCTTCTATTTCTTGTTGTAATCTGAGGTGGCATTGATTTTCTAGAAAAGATTGAATCTGAAATTTTTCCAGCATTCAGTGTGATCTGAGCCAGTATGTTTATTTGATGTATTCTCTAAAGAAACATTCTAACTGTCCCAAATGCCTATATGTAATTGAACTGAACTCTTAATTCAAGTCTACTGAATTAAATCTTAATTCAAGTCTGTTTAATCTAGTGGTTTAAATGTTAAGAGTCAAATTTAAAGCTTTGTTGTTTCTATTAGAATACTTAATTTCCCATTTTTGCAACAACGTCTAGTTCTCTTACATTGTTTCTTTATTAAATCTGAGGCAGATATTTAATACCTGTCAAATCCAAAACTAAAATTACAGTTAACCTTCTTTCAGATAATCACCTGAGAATGCTCATGGTTAAGGAAGTGTTGAGCTCAACTAAGATGAGAGTTTTAAAGTTATCTTAGCTTTAGAAGAGACCCCCCCCCATGTCAGCTTTGTCAATTTATTTAAAAGGTTTCAATGTTGCAAATGTTAACAGAACCAGATTGTAAAGTGTAAAGTTCTCTGAAGTGATCTGTACTTTATCCTGAACTTTATCAGCAAAGGTGAACCCGAAAACTGCATAATGTCGTACTTCAGTGGAGAATGATGAAAGGCAGCAAGCAAAGCACCTTGTACCCATTCAGTCCCACTGCTTCTTATGCAAGGACTTTGGGTAATGCCAGCTCACTGCCTATGCCCACCCTTCAGGCATCATTTCTGCCCTCTAGAGAAAGAATAACTACTTGATCATATTGTTTGGAGATAAGGAAATACTTGCAAAGGATAACTATATCTCAGATGATCATAAGCGAACTTTGAAGGTGTTTGAAATTTCTGCTGATACTGCTGTAACTCTGGAAATTGCAAGAATAACCCTAGATGAAAATACAGTACAAGGACGAACAATCATGCACTGCTGTCAGATCACTTAACCCCACGTATAAACTGGCCAGGAAGGCAAAGAAAATGAAAATGAAAAATACAGCCTTTGATTTTTTTTTTTACAGTATTTTTATTTTTGCCAGCTAGCCCCAAAACACCCTTTGAGATCAATCCTGGAATAATGGCTCACAGTGGAGCCCAAAAACACTGCTTTGTTTAGAAGGGACTCATGGCCTCCTCACATCCACTCAAAGGTGTGAAAATGCTATCTTAAATTGCAATCCTATGCACCCATGCCTGGAAGAAAGGCCCCTATTGAATACAGCAGGATTAAACATAAAATAGATCTATTTAGGATTGTATCATAAGATTTTCACAACATTCTAACCTACACCAAAAGCAAAAGGAGGAACAGCGGTGCGGTCCATATAGAAAATCTCAAAGCGGGCTGGATAGTACCTTTACTAGACTGTTAAACCCATTAAACCACAAGCAAGTGAGTTTTCAAGTCCTGCAGGCCCATCTGCATTGTAGAGTTTGGCAGAGGTGGGTCAGAAAATTCCAAAAAATTCAGTGGACGCAGAAGCTGCATTTCAAGTTCCAAGAGGGAGGCTGAAAACACAGAGGCTGCCTCTGAGTTATGTCAGTAGCATCAGGCTTCAGACCAGAGGATGCAGAGTCCACTGTGGGGTCCCCACCTCTGCCTCCCCAAATGAAGGAGCCATGTTTCCTCAGTTTCAACATGCATTTTGTAGCACCTTTAAGACTGAAAGATAATGCATTTTTCAAATACTCCCCAGAACAATGGAGAAGCAAAACAACAACAACAAACAAACAAATAGAAAAGAGACAACATTCGTAGCTTAGTGCTCTCTGGGTTGGACTAAGTACAAGAATGTAATGCAGAAAAACATAAATGGGGAATGACCTCCGCCTGTCTGAAAGATGAAACCCCTTTCTCTCCACCCGTCCTAAGATTCCCACTGTGTTTTGCTGCATCGGAGATTTTGAAAAGCATAAAGTGACTGTAAACACAAGAACAAAGTTCTCTCTGCATTAAGACCAGATAAAAGCACAGGCTACAAAGAACATCCTTGGATTCATAAACCGGTGTGCGTACATATGGCCAACCTGCATTTATTTATTTCTTTGCTCAATGTTTACATCGCCCTTCTAGCAAAACGGCTACTCTGGGCCATTCACAAGAACACTTGTCAGAATGAGGAAGAGGATGGTCTTATAACTGCAGAGCTGGAAGGAGCCCCCTGGATCATCCAGTCCAGCCCCGGT